ACATTCAAAACATTTTCACATTGAATTGCACCTTTATATAATTCTCGAATAATAAGTATATCTTCATGATCATTTCCATTATTTATTGTTGGATTTTGTGTATTAAACCATGACGTCCACGTTGATATCGTTGGATCACATATTGAATTAGAAAATATTGAAAGTACTTGTCCTCCAAAAACATTTGAAGATGATAATAGAATACAATTGATAAATAAAACTAATATCAACATTATACTCCGTTTCAAAAGCAACGAGTGATATTAATAACACACTCTTATAGAAAATCATCATATATTTATTATATTTTTCTATTTTACTTGTTAAGCTATTTTAAAATAAAAATTGGTCCTATGAAGTATATACGTCAAACGAAATTTGATGCTGAAAGCAATAAAAGACGGAGATTAGATTCTTATAATCACAAGCAAAAATATTGATATGTGAAGGAGAGGAATTAGATAGTTCTCCTTATAATTTCAATTATTTTTCGACTTCTTCTATGTCATGTTTTGCAGGAAACATCTACAACGTTTATATGAGATATAATATAGATAAAAGTAGATCGATAATTTTCATGCAATATTAGAACTGAAAGTATTATTGAAGTACATATTTATATCAAAGCCTAGTTTTTCAATTCAATCTTTGTCCTTTTAGTCTTCTTTGTGCTATTCATATCTTTATCGAAATAACAATATAGAATATACGGGTTTTTATTATGTTTGCTTTTCGTCATAAATATGACATCACTATAACTACAAATATTTGGTTAAATTCACCTTAATCATAATGATATAATCATCGTTTATCAGTTTACTTAATGAATAATTCATAACCACTAAATTCTTCTAGTTCTTTTCCAACTGATAAAAATCGAGAGGTCTTCGAGTATAATTTATAGACAATTTTGATTAGCTGTAAATATATTCTAAGCAAAGCGTGTATACATCTATTGTCTATTATAATTATATTTCATATGATTAATGTATCGAAAGAAAAGTATTAGTAATTTCGATGACTATTTTTATATCACCGAAATCGCTTACTATTGTTATTATAATAATATGATTAGAGTACACAATAAATCATAAAATCAAAAGGTATTTTTTAGTCTAATCTTAAAATTAATTAAATATCATATAACGTATCGAAAGTCTTGTTTAACGATTTCCGTTAGTAACATGTATATCATTTATTTCTTTCTTAAGAAAAATTCATGTGTATATAATTTATTAATTATTTTCTTCACAATAAAATTGAAATTGAATAGTCATTATTTGTCTTCTTTACTACATTCTTGAAGAAATAATATGTCTCGCGACGATACGAATATCATATGCGACATATTATGAAAAAAAGCGTGTCAAACATTGCTATAACATGTCATATTTCGTCTACAAAAAAAAAATATTAAAAACAATTCATACATGCACTTTTATTCATCTAATGAAATACATATTATACACATAAATGAGTCATCATTTAATTGAATACTCTAAAGTTTTCCTGGTTTATACCAATGTATAATTTATTTACATTTTTGTTTGCTTATGTTCTTTTTTATGTATGTAATTTGAGTCAAGATTAAATGACGTCATATAAAGGTAGCATAGCAATCATTACACATGCAAGATTTCTGTTGATTATATGAATGAATCAAGTCTCGTTTCTTTTTACTGAATTTTTCCATTACGCAAGATTTTTTTAGATCAATCATAAGCAAAAAAAGAGAAATAATTTTATAAAAAAATGATGGCAGCTCTCTTATTGTCAACGTTCGTTCGATTTAACCTCTTTGATGTTTAGGATGAGTCATCGGTTGTATGGCTGCGTAAAAGAAAAACATAGAAAGAACAGAACAGACGAGAAAACTATATATTTATATAAGAGCCTATACTGTCTCGCGTCTATGCTGACTCATTACATTAACACTGCACTCGGTGCATGAGTGACATTAAAACTAAACACTATTTTTTGTTTTTTGCAAAAATAAAACTTGATTTTGAGTTTTTGTTTTCTTGACTCTAACGATTTTATTTGAGCGGACAAAGGTCAAATATATATGTGTGTGTGTATCCATAGAATCTAACGATTGCTTATTTTTCTTTCTATTTCTATATTCTAGATCACGTTCTTCTTTTTCCTTTTTTCCTATTCGTTCATGACTGCATGCATAGTTGAAGACGCATCAACTATAATATCGATCTTTTGTCAGACAATAGATTCAATGGAACAAGCGCTATCAACATCGTTAGAAACAAGTACTAGAGCAACAACAACAATGACAACAACAGCAACAACAAATAATTCTGAGTATCATCGATGTCCGTTTAATTTTCATCCAAATAATATGAAAATTGATTCAACAACAATAATAAGAAATCAAGAACCATCTAGAAAAAGACAACTGAGTGAAAGTAATACGTGCAATACAATTTATGAAATGCCAAGAACAGTAGTAGATAACAGCTGTCTATCACCAGCTGTCCCAATGAATAAAATGAATGAAAGTAAGTAAAGAATTTTTCTTTTTATTGATTGGTGAATTTAAATTTTTATTATTTCGAATTTTTTAGCTGCAACAACACCTACTCGACCTACATCTTTATTTTTAACAAATACTACAACTGATCGTTCATCTACAAGTTTACGTTCCTATCTTAGTCATCCATCAAAATCACCAACTATTTTTCCTTCAATTGAAGATAATTTATCACCAACATTAAAATTTACATCATTACCAGAACTTTCTTCTCCGCCAGCTAAACGTCTTCGTCCTCAATCATTACTTTTAACACCTACATTTCCACCTGTTATTGCAATACCAATAAAACCTCTCCTACCGCCGTTATCATTATCAATTAGTTTTATTAGTCCAACTGAATTAGCCGATAAATTAAAAGACAAAACTTCCTTAACAATTTTCGATTGTGGTTCGCCATTTCGTCATAGTGAACATCGGATACGTAATTCAGTTCTTCTTCGTGTTTCGGATAAAATCTCACGTAAACGTTTAAAAACAAATGTTAAACAACATTCAACAATTGATAATAAACAATTACATGAAAGTCAATATATTATTTTATATGATGACAGTACAAATATGCGTCGTCATTGTACAGATCTTTTATCATCTGATGATGAACAATTATCAGCAGCATTTAAATGTGCATGTGAAGAAATTCAACGTTGTTTCACAACGAATTATCCTCCTGTACTTGTTCTTAATAGTCCATTTAATAAATTTTTTGATTTATATCCAAATCTATGCGAATCTCTACAACCCCGTTCATGTCCATCATCACCAACAAATCATTCAAATGAATCATCACCACCTCAAACAGCACCACCAATACAAAACTCATTCATACATCATCCTACAACGACGACGACGATAATGGATGAAAATACTATTACTAATCATCCGATGACACATATTATCGATGGTTTATATATTGGAAGTGAATCAAATGCGAAAAATCTCGATGAATTATCGTCTGAACAAATTCGATATATTGTTAATGTAACATCACATGTACCTCTATATCATTCAGAACAATTTCAATACTGTCATTTACCAGCTGATGATACACAAAAACAAAATCTATTAGAATATTTCGATAAAGCTTATTCATTTATTCATAATGCAATTGAAAACAATGAAAAAGTTCTTGTTCATTGTGTTGCCGGAATAAGTCGTTCCCCGGCTATTGTCATTGGATTTTTAATGCGTTATGCGAAAATGAATATGAATGATGCATATGATTTTGTTAAAAGAAAACGTTCAATTGTTTCACCTAATCTCAATTTTATGGGACAATTACTTGAATATGAAAAAAAACTAAAACAAGACAAATGAATTTATGTGTTGCTTTTTTTCTCTATTTCATTTATGGATGTTGTGAATATATATTTATTGTTATTAACAATTTGTTCTTATAAAGATATCCAAGTCAAGAACTTTGGAATCAATAAATATAGTTTATATTATACAGGCAATCATTTTCTTTCTTAATTACGAAATAAATGTCAATATTTGACGTGGCGAGTTCATATGTATTTATAGTTAGTCATCGTATGATGTAAGAAGATGATGATGATTCTGCAATATAGTCAGACAACTGATTCAGTTTACATTAATCACCTCCTATCTCTATATTACATCATAGACAGAAATAGACCAAAAAAAAAAAGAAAATATGTAGAATAGACAACTGAATAATATCAATAGATGAGGAAGTTAATTAAGTTTGATAAATGAACAAGAACTATGCATGATTGTCTGTTGAATGATGAAAGCAATAAACCGGATATGAGTAATCAAGAAATGAGGCATACTAATGGTAAAGAAGTTTGAGTAGAATATGAATCATTTTCTAAGTATACACAACTATCCGAGATATTCTTTAACCATTAAATCTTCAATTACTTCATATTTTTTTCATGTGTATATAAAATATTGATATACAATTACACGAGACAGTAATTTTAATTACTTTTACTATATGATATTCTTAGAAAATATATAAATGATTCATCTGCAAAACATAATTAATATTATGAAATTGTTGAAATATCAATAAATAGATGTTATCTTATATAGAGTAAGATGCAAAAATCTTTGGCTCGTATATAAGTTAACTTTCTGTATGTATATTTCTAAAAGATAGGATGAGATCCATATATCGCTTTTTAAATTACAAAATTAATCGATACTTGCACTTTTAGCTAGACAATCATTACAAATACTAAAATTGAATGATGAAACAGTACCTACGGAGAAGTTATTTGAAGCGGAAGCTATAATATCTCGGTCATCTAGAGAGATTTCTGCGTGAGGAAGACTCGCCCGTGTTAAATAATTTGATGAAGTCAATAACAGTACGATGTCTAGCTCTGATTGGCACGAATGTAGAGAGCATCAGCTATTCATTGTGATACTTTTGTACCTTGCACCATGCCTCATCTATGTATCACTGTACTCGAAGTACTTATTGGAATATATAGTTCTCTCTGTTTTGAAAAATAATTCCATCAAGAAAAGAGTATATTTATAGGAAATGAGTCATTCCCAAGGACTGTTACTTACGAAATTCTATTAATAGAAGTTAATTCTTCTGAAATACATCCTCATAAATTTGATATTATTTTATCAAGTATTTTGTGATAATAACTATTAGAAATACTTGTTGAATTTATTTTCAGCTATTAGCGAGTACGTCTTTTATTTGTTAAAAACGTCATTTTTTACTCTAAGATCAGAACAAATACTTATAGAATGATACTTGAGTGAAATGCAAGAAAAAAAGAATGTCTAACAATTTGCATAATCATGATTATATTATTCAAAGTATTGATTTTCATATTCATAGCCTTGATATTGAAATAACAGCTCAGGGAATATTACTGGAAATTTGAAATAAATTGTGTATCAACACTTGACATATAAGTAATTCTACAGATATTTTTTCTTTCAATCAAAAAATTGATCAATAATATAAATGTCTTCGTCAAAGATAAAAAGAAAAAGTAATCGTACAAACATTATACAGGTAAATTTTATTCTATAATTTCTTGTCATGTTATATAGACTATCTATGACTGATATGAAACTGACATTCACATAAAAAATTGAATCGCTTCGAGCTAACTTCGACTCCGAATATAGAGTCGGAAAGAAGCATGAAGAAGAAAGAACTATTGTATAAATTGTAATAAAAAGACAACAATTGAGTGATATATGAACTGAAGAGAAACGTGCTCAATATTTGTCGTAAATACATGCTGACAGCTGTCTTATTTTGTTTTTTAAATGAACGGAGGCGTGTAAACGTCATTTAAGTTCGATTTTGAGATCGAATTAGGAAGAGTATAGACGGAGAACTGCCTATTTTATTTCTTTCACATTCATCATTCCTATAATTCGGATAACAGGCGAACGATAATAACCTAGTTTCTATTTGTCTTTTTTGTTCATGATTATTGAAGAAGCAAATACTGCTTAATCCGAGTGAAGAAAAAGAACGAAATAGTAGTTTTCTAGTTGTAAACAAAAGCTAATTCCATTAAGAAAAAAGTATTCTGACTAATTAATTGTTACAACAATTGACTGTAAGATTTCAAAGTAAGAATGATAATTTTACTTTGTTAAAATTGGAAAAAAAATGATTCTATAAATAAGATTCAAGCTGCGAATCTGTATTTGGTTGTCAGTATTCAATTCATTCATTCTTTTGTTTAGAAAATTTCCTATTGTATTGAGGCTGAATACACAATATGACTCCAATGGATTTTTATCAATTCTAAAAATGACAACACAAACATATGGTTTAAAAATAAACAGATGGACAAATTTTTTTATGTTATCATCGAAAAAGTTTCTCTCTCCTAGTTATTGGATTAAAATAGCATGGCACGATAACATTGTCCTATATGAATTTAAACAAAAAAAAATATATAGTTCATAAGTAGTAAACAAAAATCTAATTTCTTTTAAACATACGTCATCGTATTAATACGACTATAGAAAAAATTACGGATTTTTATAAACACGCGAACAAACAAAGACAAAAAATGAATTAGAATATTTCGGCGATTAATGAGAGTATGAATGCTATTTCTTACTACATGTATTTATACCCATTTTCTAAAGAAACAAATGTACTATTAAGCACTATACTATTCCAATTATAAGATTAGAATTATTTCTCATTTCTAGACTTTTTTCAAAATTCCATTTAGTTCATTGAAAACTTTCTGGAATAATCCGATTATAAACTAGTAATAGATTGTATGCACTCATTTTAAAATACATTATTAGATATTAACACAGAATATTTACAATTGATTATTTTAGCACTATTTTCAGTGACAAAATATTATATACATAGTATGATTTTAGTTAATAATAGTTTTTAGCACTCGTAGGCATTCATTAATATGATAAGAAGAAGGTTATTTGTGCTTTATTACGAACATCTAGACACACGGATACAAAATAAGACACATCTATCTAAATGTGAATCATGTAAAGGTTTTATTATAAAATCATGCTAAAAAGTAATTATCATCTTTGAGATTAGACAAGCGGCGGACAATTTAATTATATAGACATAAGCGTGTGCCCTGAGGCAAATGGAATATTTGAAAGACAATATTTAACTAATCTATAAATAAAGATTTTCAATTTCTCAAAACATTGAAGACTAATTGATAATATACGTTCTGATTTATTTTTCTTATCTATCATGTCACTTGTTATAACACCATAGATTTCTAGACACTATAAATTATTTAATCGCATGTATTTACGTCAAGGCTAAACAAGACAAACATAATTAATTCAGTTGAAGGCCAAGTAAGTCACATCAATAAATAGTACTTGTAATTTTAATTACTTTTACTATATGATATTCTTAACAAAATATACAAAATAATTCATCTTGAAAAAAAAACTAAATAATTGTTGAAATATTAATTAATAGATATAATTGTTTACTAATATACATAGTAGTCAAGTATTTTGTGATAATAACTATTAGAAATACTTGTTGAATTTATTTTTTTGACTATTTGAGACTACTTTTCATGTTTGTTACAAAATGTCATTTCTACTCTAAGGATCGGAACAAATACTTATAGAATGACACTTGAGTGAAATGCAAGAGAGAAAAAGAACGTCTGTCAATTTGCATAATCATGATTATATTATACAAAACGTTCATTTTCATATTCATAGCATCAATATTGAAATAATAGCTAAGAGAATAATATTTGAAATCAATCTCAATTTGATGTTTAGTTGAATGAGAATTTCTTTATCACGAACAATATCTATTTTTATCCAATTCAAAAAAATTTGTTTAAAAAAAGGAATATTTTTTTTTGACAGACAATGAGCTTCGCCCAACATGAAATATTTTCGTTTGTTTTTCTTTGAGTCAATTGAAAACAAAAACACAAAAATGAGAAGAAAGAACGAAAGAAGAAAAAAAAAATAATAATAATAAGACAAGCCCATTGACTATATACACATGAAATTAATTTATCTGTTTTCATTTCTTAAAACTAACACTTGACCAGCATGTGTAACATTAACAGCAACAGATTCTGGTAAATAAAATGGTTCACCATCCATTTGTGCTGTCATTGGACAACATATTTCAATACGTAAATTACTACATTGTGCAATACGTATGCCACGAAAACCCATATGTATTGTTGCCATATGTGTTGTACTTAAACCGACAACTTCAATTTTTTTATCACCAAAATCTTGTCGATCAAATCGACCAATCGGAGTTGTAATTGTCGTTATGGATGGTATATTTATTTGATCATTTGGACAATCATTTAATGTAACAAGTTCATAAACTTCATGTGTATTTGCTGGTAAATCAATAATTTCAATTGAACTTGTTGATATTTCTTGAAATGAATCACAATCTTTTTGAATAATTATTGTTTGCGATGATGTTGAAGTATTATTATTCGATGATTTACCCCATGGATTCGTACCAGATGCATAACATGGAATATTTAATACAAGTAATGTATGACAATTTCGTATTGATTCAGTTAAATCTTCTCCATCACATAATAAACGTATATACGAACCTAAATTCCACATTTTTGAACGAGCAAAATCATTTAAATATTTTCGACTTTCATTTAAATACATTAATTTATTTTTTAATGGTGATGAAAATTTTCTTGGATCACGTTTACGTCTATCATGAAATTCTAATGCTATAGCTGCATCTAAACCAAAACTCATATAATTTATAAAACGTGTATTTGGTAATGCACGATTATTTTGATATGATGCACGATTTGTATCACGTACAAATTTTGGATGATTTATAAATGGTAAAGGTAAACGATTTGTTGATAAATTTTCTTCTTTTATATTATTAACTTGTTCAATTGTAACTTGCCATCGATCAAGTGCTGTTGATTGTGATTGAGGTATTTGTGTTAAAATTGATAATAAACGTTTCGAATCATATTGTTCACCCCATAATAAAACACGAGATAAATCATTACCTGTACCTAATGGACAAATACTAACAGGTGGATTATTTAATGATGGATATAATTCAGCTAAACAACTAAGAACCCATCCAACTGTACCATCACCACCGAATACACATATACGAATATTTGATAATGAAGAATAGATTTCTAATGCATGAAGTATAGTTGCATCATTTTCAAGAAGAAATACTTGACGTGGATTAAGAAGATGTAATAATTTTCGATAGATTTTTTCACCACTTTGACCACCAGAACGTTTATTAATAAAAAGTAATAGAGGTGTATAATTGTCAACAGATGTTGTCGTATCATTTGAAGTATGAAAACGATATTGAGCACGAAAATGAGATGGAGGACCGGGTATACGACGTAACCATTGTGGTCGAACAATTATATTCCTAAACAAAAATAGATAGAATTTTGTATATTGAATAGAATAAATTTACCTTAATACTCCATAGTCACATTTATTTTTGTCATCTTGATTAAAAACTTGATCCCAGCACCGTCGATGATAACCTCTCAAGCACCATAAACATTGAAATCCACTTGATGTTCCAGCCATTTTTGGACTTGTACTATCAGATAAAAGATTTCTATTCGTGGAATTTTTTGTCATCGTATCTGATGATGATGGCATTGTTGACGGACGATTACTACCAAATAATGAACTTGATACGGATTTTCGTTTACATAATGCACAAGGTTTGGTTAATATTGATACATGTGACCAATAATGTCGATCATATCTATTTTGATCATTTAATTCTTGTTTATTAGTAGAAGAATTCGATGGAATACTTTCAGAAAATGATGGACGACATGGTGGAATAAAATTTGTTGTTGTTGTTGCTTGTAAATCGATAAGATGATGAGTATGTACAATAAGTGAACAGGATTCACATTGAACAAATTCAACGAATTGACTTGATTTTGGTTCTTTACATGTAAAAAATCCACAGGATTGTGATGATGAAAGATCATTTGATTTATATGGAAACCAACAATGAGATGTTGGACATGCACGATCACTCCAATCGATACCATATGTTATAGGAATATTAACTTCAGACGATGCAGTTGAAGAAGAAGATGATGTTGCTTGTAAAACTCTAAAAGAAATAATTTATTATGTATGAAAACAAATTTTAAAACCTTTTTACTTTTTTATATTTAATATTGATTCATCTATCATTGTTTGATGATAATCTTGTTCAGGTACCGAAGCCATATACTCATTACGTGATGGAAATGAAAAATATTGCTCATCATCATCATCAAGATTATTATCGATCTGATTTTTTAAAGCTACTAATCGAGGATATTTATGTTCATATGATGGAGATAATTGTTCAGTAGGTGTTGTTGGTAATGATATAGATTCCGTACGACCTAATTTTTTATTTTTAGTTTGAATTATACGTCGATTAGAATCAATATCTAATTGACGTAAATCACTTTCTAGTGTAGGATGAGGTGGAGGTGTACGATTATTATCTTGATTTATAGATTTTAATGTATCACAATCACGTGGTTCACTAATAAAATCAAAACTTGAATGATATGTTCCTGTCGCTGTCGGTGATGTTAATGTTGTATGAATTGATGATGGATACTTAAGTTTATGTGGAGATCTTGATATAATTGGCGATGAAGCTTCTGCCATTCTTTCTTTATAAAAAAAAGAAAGTGACTAAAAAATATGTTTACAATATAAACATTATGAAAGCAAAAAAGACAAGAATAGGAGAGAAGGAGAGAGAGAGAAGGGAAAAAAATGAGAACGATGTTGTTTCTATAAGTAATAGTCTACTCATCAACAGTGTGAACATCTTTATCGTATGTGACAGTTATTTCTTTTTTTTTTCCTTCTATTTTTTTTCTCGCTTTCTCTTACAACATGATGTCTACCCACGTCCATGTCGACGATCGATAAAGATAATGATGATGATGATATGGGAGACTGCCACATCTGTTTTTGTCAAGAAAAAGACAACAATGAAATTGTCTTCATTGTCTCAATACTATTTCTCGTCCTACTGTGTATATTATATGTATATTACGCATGGCATACAAAAAGAGAATAAAAGATAATTTCAATAGATTTTCTCGCTTTATAATACGCACATACAAATAGATAAATCTATTCAATTTATTAGCGAAAAATATAGCATGAAATTGTTTTCTTATCAATACTATGTATGTGTAAATGACCTTGACTTTTATTCAATATAAAAAACAAAGTCAACTTACCTGTATTTATTAGAATTTCTTAAACTACTCTAGTTTTCATATATATATAAATTATGTTTACTAACGAATACAATATTTTCAGATAAATCAAAATAAATATATAGTAGAAATTTGTTTTTATTATTTTTATTTTTTTTTTATATTTTTGACAGACTGAGCGAACACACACGCACTATACGAGGAAAAGAAAAAACATTTGTTATCAGACGGAACCCGCGAGTCGTTTTTTTCTTTTTTGCTCTCCTTTTCTCTTTTTTTCCTACAATACTATCGAGAAACGCCAAGTACGCGTACGTGTTTCTGTGTCTATATACATTAAAGAAAAAAAGAAGGTAGATGATATATACACATAAATCAGTCGTAGCTCAAAACAATCAAGTATTCATCAGGAAACTCTTTTTGATTTTTTTTCTTCTCATCGTGTGTTTCTTCTATTTTGAATACGATGTAAAAATACGTTACGAAAAATTTGTCACCTGACGCATCACCCACGCAGGACTTGCATCCTTGTACTTTGAATATTATCATGTATTCGTCATTCTTTACATTTGACACATAAACAAAGAAGAAAAGAACCACATAAACACGCACGCAATCATGCATTTGAAATAATATTTTATCTCTTGTTGAAAAATCGATGACGACAGATGTGTCGAAAAATAAAAAGGACTCAGTCATTCTATAAAGAAATAAAATCATGAAAATTATATTTTATACTACACTGAAAAAACTAAGACTACGCTACGTTTATTCTACATAACAGAAAGAAAAAGGAAAAAAACAAAGCCTAACTCTATACAATTTGATTGATAATTATCAAATAACTTTTCATGTTCGAATAAATAATGAAATTCTCCAATAATTAAAGCATTTCTCTTTAATTATACTTTATTCGACTACATCAAATATTCTATAATTCATTCATGTCAATCATCAATTTGTGATTAATGTTCCTCGTGAAGTTTTTGTCCTCGTCTTTTCGATTTGCATCATAAACTTATTTAATGTTATATCTTACACTTTAAAAATACATACAATTAAAAAAAGTTTGCACTTACAAATATTTAATACGTTAATCTAAAAAAGATAATGTATATTCAACATAATCATTTCTACATTTAGAATATAAAAACTCTTATCATTTTCGATTAACACAATGAAGTTTTTTTCTTTTCAAGAAAACAAATATTTTGTTTTCTCAATTGTCGTACAATATTAAGATCTTTATCGAACAAATGCTTACGTTAAAATATTATTATAGATTAATACATTATCTTAACGCAAGCTTAGATATTTATTCGATAGAATCAGTTTGACATTTCTATCAAATATTAATTAGGAAAAAACAAGGATTTTCTTAAAGGATTTAAATAGAAAACACTTATACAAAGGAAATACTATTTTAAAACATTTAGTACTCACATTCGATAAGATTATAATAAAAAAAAAGAAGAAGAAGAAAGAGAACACGTGAATTTTACGATAGAAAAACTCTTTGATTAATCGCTACAATATATTTATCAAAGGATGAATAAAAATAGAAATATAATATATATTTTCAAATGTTTTACGGAAGTAATTTATAGGTTTCTAATTAAAATCGGATAATAAATTGTTTTTTATTAGACTTATGACAATAAAAATATTGCCAAAGGTTCAAGTCTTAATTGAATGGAAATAATTCTGTCAAGTTTTAAATAAAAGATGGGTTTTTTCTTTGAAAGAATTTTAACTATACAACAGATGTCATTCTTACATTAATCGCTGTTATATTTCGTTTATTACTTATTATAATACTATTATTATTTATTATGTTTCAGATTATTTGATTAAATTAATCATTTTTAATCGATTCAGATCAATAATTTTTCATTGATTGGTTAAAAAAATTGACCAATCGTATAAAAACATGCGCTTGAGACGTTATTTTTATTTGTCTATCCATTCAATCTACGTGTCTTTTTGGGCAAATAATGCTATAATCAATCGAAAATTCTTTCTATTTTAGAACATAATTTAACTTCAATAATGCCTCAAATTGTATCAGTGAAAGCAGAATATTTAATATTAGTTAGTTTTTTTATGACATTTGCTGTTATAACAAATGCTTTTTATACGAAAAAACAATTCTATCCATCTGTTGTCTATTTAACAAAATCAAGTACAAGTCTTGCAGTAAATTATATTCAGAAATATAGAAGATTTAATTTATAGTCAATTGATTTATTATTAGGTTCTTTATGTTCAAGCATTTGTATTTGTTGTTTTATTGGGTAAACTTGTACAAAGAATATTTCTCGGGCAACTTCGAGCCATTGAAACTGAAGTTTGTATTGAATTTAATCGAAAATTTTCATTAATGTTTGTTATATTTTTAGCATCTTTACGATCGAACATGGTTTTCAGTAACCGAAACATGTTTAGCATTTACGGTTTTTCGCGATGATTTCAGTCCACGTTTTGTTGGTTTATTTGCAATTTTACTTTTTCTTAAATGTTTTCATTGGCTATTAGAAGATCGTGTAGATTATGTAAGGAATAAATATATATATATATTTCTTTTCCCAGAAATTAAATCAATTTAATATTTAGATGGAACAAAGTCCTGTACTTGGTCCAGTATTTCATACACGAGTTATTAGTAAGATTAATATTATTTTTTTATATAAACATATTTGAAAAGTTTTTGCTAAATCTTGATTAACTAGATCACTCTCTATAAAAAGAAGTAGTACTAGTTTTAAGATTGTTTTCAAAAGTTTTGATCGATTAGATTATATAGTGACAGTTCGTGTTTTATTTTATCTGACTTTGGGCTACTCCTTTTCTTGAAATATTCTATACTATGTTTAAACAATATCTCTATTATTTTATTTATGAGAGAAATGCGTAAATCTTAATATTGTGAACTGGACTTCCTGATGTTCATAACTTCATGAATCCGGATAAAAAATAAAGGTTTAAAATAGAAGTACTGTGTAATTAAGCAAGTCTTGGAGGAGTATTCAAATTTGAATGATGTCTCTGATTACAATTGACATTGACGATGAACCGATCTTCCTCACAGTACAGAATTGAGCTTGTAATTCAACAAAAGAGAGAGAATATATCTTTCATATTTCTATATCTTATTCATTTTTAAGGTCTATCAACTGTTTTATTTCTTTTGGATTATTTCTTTATCCTATCGGCTTATTCACATACGATAGCACGAGGGGCATCTGTGCAAATTGTATTTGGTTTTGAAGTAAAGCAATATCTTTTTTGGTTAATTAAATATATATGTATATCATTTTGTTCTTTAGTATGCTATTCTACTTGTTTCTGTTATTTCAACTGCTATTAAATATATTCTACATACAATTGAAATGCGTACCGGTGAACAATGGGAAAATAAAGGTGTATTTATGCTATATTCGGATCTTATTCTTGGCTCATTTCGTGTTTTACTCTATATGATATTTATGGTTGTTATGATGAAAATTCATACATTTCCATTATTTGCTATTCGACCAATGTTTATTGCCATGAAGTATTTTATTAATTTCGTTTTTCGATTTTCTTTTTAAATTTTTCTTTCTTTTAAGAGCATTCCGTAAATCGTGCAGTGATGTGATTGAATCACGACGAGCTATTCGTAATTTAAATACAATGTATCCTGATTTAACAGCTGAAGAACTTGCTACTGTTGCTGATACAACATGTATTATATGTCGAGAAGAAATGCTTGCACAACAAAGTATTAAACGTCTTAGTTGTCAACATATATTTCATAAAAATTGTTTACGTTCATGGTTTCAACGACAACAAACTTGTAAGTTAATCTTTCAAAAACAAAACTTTTCTATATTATTCATTGAAAAATTAGGTCCTATTTGTCGAACAACTGTTTTACGACCTACAACTCCTCGAGGAGCAGCAGCAGGAGCAGCTGCAGCACCTAATGCACCTGCAGCAGGAGGAGCAGCAGCAGCACAACAACAAAATCAAGCACCGAATGGTGGAGGTATAAAATAATGAAAGAGATTGATTAATAATTCATTATTTCATATCATTTTAGCTCAAGTACCTCCAAATGGAGCCAATACACCTCCTTCATCATCATCAGCTCCACCACCTCCATCTTCAGCTTCTTCATCAACTATTCCACCTTTTTTTAACTTTACACCGCTCAATTCAACAACTGCTCAAGGATCAACAGCAACAATTTCACAAATGCCATTTGGTTCATTTCCCATGGTACTACCACCGTTCGGTATGTTTTTTTAACGATCTAAAAAAAGAAGAAAACCTCGAATAAAACCTTTCTATTCTTGTTATAAATTAGCTTTTCCACCACCACCTCTACCTCCTACCAACTTCACTGGAATGTCTGAAGAAGCCATTCGAGCAATGGAAGGAACAGAATTAGCACATGTTCAAGCACGTATTCAATGTTTACGCAATGTACGAACTTTATTAGATGCATCAACAATACAAATTCAACAATATATGAATATTGTATCAACACAAAGGTTGATTCATTTTATTTTTTTTCTTCTTCTCCTCATCTAAATCGAATATTTATATTTCTAGTAATATGGAAAATAGTTCAAATATATTAAAAAATCTTAATAATGATGTTAATCAAGTATTTGCATCAACAGAAAATTCAAGAGTCGATGAAAGTGATATAGAACATATTCGTCGTCGTCGTGTAGAACTTTTAGCAAATCGAACATCTTCATCACCATCAACAGATATACAAGATGAAAATTCTAACAATAATCATGCATAACTATTTCTTGTTTTTTTTTCCTGTCCATTTAATCAGTTATTGGCGATTATATTTGTTTTTTTTGTTCTTGTATCAACATACATTCGAAACAGTGCTCTATCTTCTTTTTTTTTGGCCTCTGCTTTTTTTGTCATTTGGAGTACTCTTTGATTGTATATATATATACATAAACGTATCAAATGAAGGAGAACTTATCTTTAAATTATTTTGTTCTTTCGTATGCACTATTTGTTTTGTTATTGGTCCTAGTCAGACAAATTGACATTTTTTTTTTGTTCTTTTCATTCTCTATTGTTCATTTATTATGGCTTATCTGTTGTGTATTCTAAAAGAAGGATGATTTGTCTCATTTTGAAAAATAAACGAGTTTGGTTTGGATTCTGATAGGGATATACTTAAAACAATAACAAAAACATATTATTCTTTTATTAAATATTTAACTGAAAAAAAAAGAATATAATATATATAATTATTTTGAACTAACCATCTGTATTGCATAACTATATATATGACAATAGTAAATACATTGATGATTTAATTAAGTAGTTTTATATTTTGCACGATTCAATGGCTAATAATAATCAATATTAAGTGTTCAATGAATTAATTTACTGAATAATTGTCTGCTTGGAAAATTATTCTAAAGTAAATAAGTTGCAGATCTCTTATGCAATTGAAGAATTGTAAAAATAGAACAAAGTGCTCTGTCAACATACTTCAAAATGTGCAAAATACTTCAACTTAAGTACTAAATACTTAGAAAATTAAGAAAGATTAAGACTAATTTTTTTGCCTACAGAATATTTTCAATGTTTGGTATTGACAATAATATAATGCAAGGATGGCACAAATATATTGAAAGATATTATAAAATATTTCCTAGTAGTATAACTGACATCATAACTAACAAACCGACATATACAAACTTATTTAATAAAGGTGTTTTTGTTTTAAATAAATTGATTCTATCAATACTCAACCAGTAACTTTGTATTACATTGATTTAGTCGAAGATCAAATAATAAGATCAGTTTTCTTTAAAATAGATTTTTCAATGAATGATATAAGAGTAACTGATAGTTTATGTTGTAAACAAAAATAGTGGTGAAATTGAATTTTTCAGGAATATAATACGACTATATGATTTAGTGTTATCGACTGGACAATATATATGCCATTTTGACCTTCAATTATTGTTTTCCATGAACGAAATATATGACCGTTGCTACTAGCATTGCCTATATACTGTTGTTATATGAAAAAAATTTGTTTATTTCATCCTGACTGATTTGCTTTAGACCACTGATGATAATGACATATACATTTAGCTTCCGTAAGATAATTGTAGGAGTTTGTTAACATATGGTTAGATAAAGTAGAAATCGATCTATATGTTCAGTTTGATTCAGCTGAGCTTTATCTAAATCCACGTACTAGTTTCTAAAAAAAGAGACACAAACATTCCTTATATTTGAAAGCTGAGTACTTTTTAAGTGTTAGATAATCTTTTCTAGATTTTTTTACCAATTCACTTTAGGAGCCAGCTTGGTAGTCTTTATGTAGAGAATTTAACGACACATCTGTTGGTACACGAATCAGCTTGAACGTTCAAAACTAAAAAAAAATGTATAGTTAAAATACGGAGACATTCATTTTTTATGGCGTACCCGTTAAATCACATGAATTAAATTTACATTCTGTGACACGAGATACACATGATGACATTTTTTTTAGAAAAAGAGCGAAGTATGACGTAAAAAAGAATAAATGAAAAGTCTTGTATAGTAAGGGGGCAAGCCTACAATACATACACAATATGACGCCCATATTGCTCATCCTTACCGAAAAAGGAAGAAAAGAGAAAAGGAAGAAAAGAGAAAATGGAGAATAATAAATTCAGAAGTCGACAAGAACATTCATTTCCTTGATAATCGGTATCGACTTTACTTAGTCTTATCTGATATATTCACTACATCATGGCAACCAATTCAGATCTACCTGATGATGTGAAGACGTCGCTCACACAATTCGATCAGTATGAGGAACAAGATCCAGATTTAACTATATTAAATGGAGCAATGACGTCAGTCCAAAGGAAGGCTGCACGAATGCATGAGGAAGCTGTATATGAAATGGTGAAATCAGTAGCAAAGTATGTTGTCGCTGAGACTGACTCAGACATCAATGTAATTCGTCCAATGCTGCCACACACTTATGTGAAAAATGGTTATTTGATAAAACCAGATATTATCCTTTTGATTAAAGGCAGGGATACCAAAAACAAAATTGTTATTGATGCCAAGAATCACGCAGACCTCATTCGACCAGACCAGTGGAAGAAACTCGACCGCGATATGAAAGCAACAAAGGTATGAAGATCTCTGTTTGATTTATTTCAACTATGATTTGTGTTCGAACTGTTTTAGGCAGATTTTGGACTACTGGTTCTTAATGAAACTGGATATTTTAGCAGGAACAGTGAAGAGGAAATGAAAAAGAATAATATTACAGTCATTAATTATATTAGGGGCACCAATCAGAGTGAGGCTGGTTTGGCAAATTACTTAGGAAAAACGATAAACCAGAACATTATATTCTCAAGTCATCGTTTCGAAAATAAAGAAGACCATGTCAACGACGAATATTCTAAACCGACATTACCTAATCCACACGGAAGAAATAAGGAAACTGTTTTTTGTATTAATCATGATACTTTGAAAAAATAACAAAAATAAGAATAAAAGATATTATGATAAACCTACTACTTAGGATATATCAAAATTTCGTGTCCTGATATTCAAAATTTTATTAAATGCTTAAAATAATTACCATTACTTAGAATACTTTCGAAATGTAATGTTCTAGAACATGACGTCATTGAATGTAACAAAAGAAAGTGATCAATGGAAAATATGAACAGTTATAGAATATAAGAGCCAAAAAGTTATGAGTATCTTGTTTGACTTTCTTTTTTCAAAAGTCTGATAGTACTTTTCGTTTGTATTTGTCACCTATCTATTAGCAATATTTTAGTATATACATGTTGGCAGCAGCCTGCTCACACAATGACCGACAGCATCAATCATTTATATATCTTTCATCTTCAACGATAAATATTAAAACGAAATAATATATAAATATCCGATATTTCCTTCATCTACGTATTTTAAATTCCAATCATTTATAAATTAAACTTTTTTGTTACATAGTATTTACTTCGAAAAAAATGATTACAACGTTATATTGTTTCTTGCTACTGTAAATAATCAGCATATATTTAAAATAATAAAATTATAAGCTTTTTTCTTATATTTTATCAATAAATCGAACTGGTATTATTTAAAAAAATGATTTTATCGTTCGAAAGCAAAATTTATTTCCTATATACAGAAAAACAAAAAACACACAAACACATACAATTATATGCAATTAAACAAAAATGAAAACAAAAAACATACACATATTAGAAAGCAAACACTTTGTTATGTTTTCCAGCTTTACCTTTCACTCTCGGTTGCCAATTAATCAATTGTGGATTAACAACAAAGAATTTTTTTGCATGTAATTCTTGTAAACGTGCGTCAACATGTTTTCTTGATGCACAAACAAAATGACCTTGCCTCCAATATTTAATAAAACCATATGAACTTAATGTTTCCATACAATTTTCAGCACTGATACTTGTTATTGCACTAGAAGAAAGATTTATTTTTAAAATACACATATCTTCTTTTTCAGTTATTTACCTTAATTCATCAACTTCAATTTCAGGTTTTTCTTTAAGTATATTCAATAGTGCCCATGTCCAATAACTTAAATATGCTTTATATCCCAAATCACTAACCGGTTTTTCTGGACCACCAACTACATTCTCTAATTTCGATAATTCATAACCTAAAATAAAATAAAATTCTAGTAGAATATTGTCGTTAAACGACTATGGCATCGATATGATTAGTGTACCCATATGTTTATTTCTCTTAATCCTACCCGTGTATATCTCTGTTCAATAGACTTAAGTAATTCATTTTTCTACTTTTTGAATAATTTACTTACTAAATTGAATTAATAATTTTCCATATCCTTTTCGTTGATATGGCGGTAAACATAATAGACAAGATAAATTATATCCAAAGGCTGAATCTTTTTCCTATTAAAACAAACAGAAAAATTTCATTAATCTTTTTTAAAGAAGTTCTTACTTTAGAAAAATATCCAATAAAACGTTCTTTTTGAGTACTTTCATTATATTCCATGAGAACATAAAAAAGAAATTCTGATACATTAAAACAAATAACTTTTGATTCAAGAAAAAGACGAGCTAATAGACATAAATTTTGACAATATAATTTATGTTTGTTACCATCTACTTCATATAATGCACAACCAATTTTTGGATCTCGATAGATTTCAGTACCCGGTGGTCGTTTCAATGGACATTCAGTCTACAAAAAGAAAACGATTAATTAAAAAAAGAAAACTATTCAAATAAAATTTTACAAGATGACGACAATAAGTTGTTTTAAGACGCATATATTTCATACAATATTCACAAATGTATAATAGACGTTGTTTTCCATATTCATCCGGAAATGGCGAATGATACCAACAATCAATTTCATATTGTCCAAGCCAAATCTTTTCAATATATTTTACACTTGGTTTATAATCTTTTCGAGCATTCTGATCAACAGCTTCAAAAGAAGCATCATGAGAAAAATCAGTTGAATCCTTCAAACAAAACAAGAAACATGTATTCAAATAAATTTTTTATAAAATAATATTAATATACATCATTTAAACGACGCTTTAGACGTGCACGTTTTCTACCAGTTAAACTATTTGTTGAATCATTCAATTGTTCATTTGTCATTTCCATTTGTTCATTACTAGCACTTCCTGATAATCGATTTTCTGGTATCCATTGATCATTACGATGATCAACTAAAATACATCATTGTAGTTACAAAACAAATGTATATAGATATTAACATACAATTAAGATAATGAACGAAATATTCCTGTTGATCAGTACCATCAGCAGTACGAGTTTCAAGAATTTCAGCAGTATCTATAAAAACAATTATATGTAAATGATGAACAATAGAGAAATAATTACTTACGAATAGCTCCATTGTTCATTCGAACAAAAAATGTATCACCAGGTTTAGGAGAATTTGGTATAGCTGTGTCGATATCCATGACTAAAATTTTTACTACAAATCTAGAACGAGAAAAAGAAATTATTTCTCCGAAATAATGAAGAACAGCATAGAATCACTTTCAGCGTGTGGGCGTGAACTTCTTATCTTACCTCACACACCCACAGCCTTCGCATATCTACTCTCGTATCAAGACAATCATTGAATATTGATTACCACCATAAATATAATCCACCATGAATACGTTCAATTGTATAATTTGTAATTAAATTTTCATTTTTAATTAATGTTTGTATTTTTTCAATAGTATCATAGTTAATATTTAAAAGAAATAATGAGAAAAGATATTTTAATTTTAAGAATAAAAATCGTAAAATTTTTTCGAGATGATTTTCATCTAAACTTATTTCAAGATATTCAAGATATGGAAATAAATCAATAAGAAAATCAATATATGCAAATTGACATTCATCATCATCGATTATCAAATGTGTTATTCGATTATTTCTAGATAATAATCGTCTAGTATTAGTTCGTTTAGATCCTAATTGTATTTTATTTGATAGTGTCAAAGTTTGAACATTTGGAAAAAGACATAAAATTTCAATGAATTGATTAATTGTTAAAACATTATCTTTAATGGATAGTTCTGTAATTTGTAAGAGAGGAACAATAGATTTCATATGATTAATAAACAATGGATTCTTTTGTATATTATTATCTTTGAGAGTAAGTTTCGTAGCTCGTGGGAATTGAATAGAATATTGATTTGTTTTTAAACAACCTTCAAGAATTAAATGACGAGCAAAATTGATATTGTTACTTTTGTATAATTTTGATTTATTCTCATTGAATTTTTCATGTAATGTATATTCATCATATCTTGAAAAAAAAAGAGATCAATATGAATCATAATCGAATGTTTTTATTTACCTGTATGGAACAATTGAGAAGAAATTGAAATAATACGAATATTCGTCATTATAATAGTAATAATAATCGAAAAACCATTGTTTTTCAATCCAGAACTTAGAAGAAAATCGATCAATTAACAATTGACGATTATCTTTATCAATAGAAACTGTATATTGTAAATCAAATATACATAAACATGGCATATGACATACAATTAAGTCTTTCCATTGTTCAGCATGAAAATAATCATCATTATCAAATGTTTTTATTCTAAAAACTTTTAATCGAGAGCTAATTTTTGATAAAAATAATTTCATTTCTTCAAATAATATACGATATATAGTCAGATGAATACTTGTTAAATTTTTTGGTATTTGAATTTCTTTACATTCTCTTCCTGTACCGTAAAGATATTGACATGATAGATGTTGAAGTAGAGGTAAATATGAAAGAATAGAATTAAGTTGTTCAAGACGACAATGACCATTAATAATTAAACGTTCAAGTTTGTGATATGAATCTATAGCAATTGGTAATGGAACACGTTCACCACCAGATGGAAATGTTAATTTACAAAATTTTAATTTTGTTAAACGAAAAATTGAAAGATAAATAGAATTTTCATCTTGAAAATAATTCGATGAATAAATTGAAAGAGAAGAAAAATTTGGTAAACATATTAAATTACTAAGAAGTGTTGAGATTTTATCAGATTGTATTTGATTAACAGTTAATGATTTAAGTGATGAAAATAAATTTATTGAAAAGAATTCAAGAAAATATTTGCATATATTTAATGAGATTATACGTTTAATATTTGAATTAATAATATATTTACAACGATATTGAAAAATAGTTTTTGATGTTAATGGAAAATTTATTTTAAGCGATAAATTTGATTCATAAAATAAAGAATGGAAACGTAGATTAAGTTTTACAAAAATCTCATAGATAAGACAATAATCAATATAATCGAATATTTCATAAATTAATTCATTGGATAAGTCTTCAAATTGTGTTATTGATAATCTATAATATAGAATTGAATTATAATGAAATGATTAAGATTAAAATATTCTCTTTCTTGTAGAGAAGAGTCCAGTAAACATAAATTGTCTGTCCGCAGGGTCAAAAAATATATTTCTAGAGGTATTTCGAATCGGAGATCTGTTGGGTGACCATCCTGAGGGAGGGGGAGAGGTCAAAAAAACATCGGAAATCTGTTTTCTCAGTAAATGTGAAGAGGATGCATTTCTACGAGAAAGAGCTAAGCAAGTCCTCGGACGAGCGTTACCTGTTAATTCTAGTTGTATTAAAATTTCTGCTCTCGACTTTTCTATAATATTTTTCGGAATTTCTGTGCAATTAATCTGTAATAGTCTTTCATTACTTGAAACAGGATTAAGCTTAAGAATGAATGCGCAGGGACGGAATTCTTACTTTTTTTTGTTATTAACATTTTGTTCGATAATTTTCTTATTTCGTTGACGTTTCATTATCTAAAACAACTTTTAAGTACAGTAAATGTTTTCTTTATTTGCAAAAAACAATCTATGATTTCCTTTTATTTTAATTTATAAACACAAAAGTTAGGTTAGTTTTGTTTAAATTCACTTTCTGTATATAAAATAAAATACACAAGAAAGAGAATGTATATGTATATATATATATTTATATATCTGACAATGTTCTCACTGTTGAATACAAATAATATCTGACATAACAAGATATGTGATATGTTTAGTTTTAAAATTTTTCTTCGTAATTATCATATGGTTGTAAAGAAAATTGAACAATTGATTCAAGTATCCATTCGGGACTAAGAAAAAGAACGCCATTTGAACGAGATGTTTCGAATAATTGTTGTTGATTTGAACAATTAAATGGAATTAATTTATCACAAAGAACGATAGTTAAAATGGAAGAATCATTTGGTGTAGTTATTGGAAGAGCATTTAGAAGTGTACCATTACATAAAGTAATTAAAGAAGCAAGTTCATTCTTAGACTAAATAATACAAAGAAAATAATTATTGCATTTGACATTATATACTCACCATTTTCTCTTGACATCCGTTACATAAAATAAAAAATTGACAATTTTGAAAAAGATTTATATGTTTTGCTAATCGACTAGTACGCATTCCATCATGATATTCTCCAAATGGTATATCACCACGTATTTCAAATAAAGGTTCATCAACTATTTGATTTTGTTTTAAACATTCGACTATCCATCGATATGTTATTACAAATAAATGACGAGCAATAGCTTGAAATACTTTTATAGTTAATGGACATAATAATGTTTTTTCTTCATTTCCAGCTATTAAATGTGTTGTACGTTCATCAACACAGTTCGATAATATTATTTGATTTGGAAATAATGATGCAAAACGATGAACTTCAGTCTAGCGAAAAAAAAGAATGAATTATTTAATTGATATATTATGATTACATACAATTTGTTCGATATTCAAACAAGAATATGCCAAAACAATTCGTTTTTCAATCGATGGACAAACCATAACAGTATTCGAAGTAAATGTATCATCGTGATTACCATCACTTGTATAATCATTATCAAATGATGTTGATAATTCTATTAAATAGATAAAGAATTTTATAGTTCCAGGTATCAAAACTTATCTTTACCATTGAATGATAAATTTTGTGCTGAAAATGGTGGTGATAAAGTATCATCGAGATGAAATGAATCGCCTTGTTGTTTTTTCTTTTTCTTTTTTGCATATAAATTTAATGGTAATTTATTTTCTTTTCTCATTTTAACTCGAGCATTTGTAAACCAAACGGTTATTTGTGATAACGACATTTTAGTTTTTTCCATTAATTCTTGTTTATCAGTTTCATTTGGATCTACAAAAATACAAATATAATAAAGAATAGCTAAATTACAATTACTTACATGGATGATGTTGATGTTCAAAAAGCCATTGTTTTAAAGGACCTGTTGAATTTTTTTCTCGACCTGTTGTATTAAATAATGTTGATAATTTATCCTCTGAAAATAAAATCTTTGAGTTATTTAATCATAGAAAATTTTTTTCTTATACCATTTGGATATTGAATTGGTACATCATTTTTATTGGTTTTACAATTTGATTTTTTATTCTCTCCAAATGTTATCGGCGTTGTATCATCATATAACATATCATCTTCTCCAGCACTTAAATAGGATTGTTGATTATGCATATCGATTATTAAGGTAATCAAATTCTTTTTTTCTTCAATTCAATGTTCGTTAGATGTATCGAGAACAAGAGACTTTTCGAACGAATAGAACAGAGTTCAAACAGAGGTCAGTAGTTTTTTTCAATGGCTAAAATGATAGCCAATCAAAAGAAAGATGTTAATTTAGTTGTTGTGCCATTTTTATATATTAGATATGGGTCCAGTTGAACCTAGTACTTCAATATCTCAACAACAACAACAGCAGCAACAACAACAACAACAACAAGCACAAAAACCAAAACGAAGATCTCGTTCCAATGAAAGAAATTCCCATGAAAATAATCGACAAAAATCTCGACGAAATGCTCGTTCAAGAAGTGGAGACCGTGAATCGTCATCCTCAAGCAGTGGTATATATCTATTCTAAATTATTTTCTATTTTCGATTAATTTTTTTTCTTAAGATAATAATCGTGAAGATGATCATGGAAGTATGGATGATGATGAAGATGATGATGATGCAAGTATTAGTGATCGAAGTTCAAGAGGAAGTTCATCAATGAAGCAAACTACTGGAATTCGATGGGATTATCGAGTAATTTAAAGATGATGTTTTTTATATAAAAAATTATAACATTTTATTTCTATATAGATGAATCATGTCGGAAGAAGAATAAAAGAAACCAAAGCATTTTGTTGTCTCAATTGTCGATATCCAGTATTACTTGTTGGACGATTAGTAAGATTTTAAGATAAAAAAAATATATATTCTAATTTCTATTATAGTTGCCTTGTAAACATGCAGCTTTTTGTTTACAATGTGCTAATGAATGTAAAAATGATCGCCGAAATTGTCCAAAGTAAATAATTTAATTTTTTTCTTAAAAATAATTTTTGATTTTATTATAAAAGATGTAATGATGCAATAACTGATGTAGAGAAAATAGAAGCAAAAAATCTTATACTTTGTTTTCATGGTTCACATCCACATTCTCAAGATGCTTGCCTTCGAGGATATACTTCACAACGTGATCTTCAAGCACATGTTAAACGACGTCATGAACAAACAACACAACCAGGACAAACACGTCTTGATTCTCCACATCAATTACTTCCTCCTACAACTGCTTTTCCTGGTCTTGTAGTTGATCCTCAACAGCAGCAACAACAACAACAACAACAATCTCAAGGTCCTCCACCATTAATGCCGTTTCCACCAATGAATGTTTCAGCAATGGCACCACCACCACCTCTATTTGATATGGGATTTCGTCCACAAAATTATGGACTTACACCACAACAATTTGTGCCACCTCAACAGCAATATCGACCACCACCTTATCCACCTAATCGACAATTTTACTAGTCGTTTTGCTTATGTATATAAAACAATAAGTTTCTATTTCATTCTCAAATAAATTACAAAAAAAAGTTCTGTATTACACTCGAGAGCAAAAATTAGATTTTATTTTGAAAAACTTTTTACATTCGTAATGAAATAATTGAAAATATAGTTGAATAAGTATGAAATAAATCTTTCAATGATTCTTTAGTAGTTCTTTGTTGTTGTTGTGAAGCGTCATTATCATTGAGGAGATAATCATGTCCAAGTTCACCATTTCCAAATATTCCAATTAATGATGTATTTGGAAAGAGTTTTTGAAATTCTGAACATTCAACATTCGATTCTTGATGATAAAAATCGACACCACGACCAACACAACTAACTTGTATACCAAATGATAGATAACATTGCTCATTTTCTATAGATTTTAATTCTTTTAATTTATCTCTTACAGCTTCACGTGTTTGTATATGACTTTTCAATACAACTTGTCGAATATTTAAATGAGTTCTATCACCTGTTAAAACAATTCCACATGCATTATTTAATAATGTTTTATGTTTCGATTGTCGATCATCATAACGACTTCTATTGATATAACCTCCAATAATAACTACTTCGGATGAATAATATTCAAGTAATTTCTTAATACAATTATTCATTTGAGTTTGAAGTAAACGTGGAGTATAGAAAAGTATAACACATCGAATGGATATATCATCAGGTACACATCCAAGAAGTTGATGTAAATCTGAACGAGACATATTGTTAGATATTGGTGTTTTATTTGTAATTTCAAATGGATAAATTCCAAGAATATTCGGTGGAAATTTAGGAAGAAGAAGAATACCCACAGCATCATCTAAATAATAGATAAGAAATTTATTAGATTCTTCTAGGAATACATTTATTTTTATTTACTTAATTCAATTTCATTGGATTGATTCTTATCATTTGATGCAATAATTCCATCAGAAACAACTGTAAGAACTTTACATGATTTATTTACATGATGTATTAATGCTTCTGATATATTATGACGTTCTGTTTGACTAGCTGTTGTTTGTGAATGAGATCGTCTTGGATATTTTGCTGGTCGTAATGAACAATCTGATGATGAATGAAAACCTTTTCTATCTAAACTATTCGTCGTAACAACTAATGCTAGATATGGTATTGACCAAAGATGAATGTGTATATAGGATGAAATAAATGCATCGAAATCAGATAGAAGATACGAAGAATCTGCTATTGATGACAATGGATCAGTTGGATAAGTTAATGAATGAATTGTATGACGATGTGTTTTGATTAAATGACCTACGTGAGCCCATGATTTACAAACTAAAGAGCATAAATCGATTGAATGAATAGGTAAATGACGAAAAATTGCTCGATTTACATCGTAAATTGTTGTTAACACATCATTCGATGATAAAGATTCAATCTTGTTATCTTCTTCCAAATTTTGTTCAGTCATCTCAAATGATTTAAATGTTGATGAACAAAAAGCATTTCTCAAATTTAACGTAATTCTATTCGTTCTTCTTTCTTCTGTCTCTAATCTAACCACATTTTTTTTATTTAGTTCTGTTCTCATTCACTCATTGTTATTCATAGATGGCGTTCAGAAGAAGAACAGAAAAGAAAATATATGTTGAGTTTTATTCTCAAACAATTCGTAAAACGAACAGAAATTGAACTATTGTGGTTATTATAAAACAAAAAGGAAGAGGAAAAGAAACAATGAATGCAATATTTAACAGCAGCTGCTATTGGAAAATCAATTATTGATAGTCATCTTACGTAAAATTCTTTCTTCAACAAAAAAAGGATATATGCAAGCATCTAACAGGTCAACTAGATCTAAAAGTATTAGATACATACCAAACTGAAGTTAAGGGTACGTGAGTTCTTTCTATACCGACACTCACACCCATACCCTGCTATTTATAATTAAACCAATGGATAGAAGTCAAAGTTATTCTGGTCTTGTTTATTCCAATTTTTATTTCTTGTATAAAATATAGAAGAATTACAATTCTTAGAAAGTAAAAATTACGTTTTTATTCAAAAATTTTCGTAGCAGCTTTTTTCTTTTCACATATAATTTTCCAAAAACCTTCATCACGTTCTGCCGATGATTTATCAGGGTCAACACGACATTTCAAAGGAATTTCTATTTTAAATTTACCCATAGGAATTTTTTCTTGATGAGTTCTTGGATTTATTAATAATTTTTTAAAATCATCACGACAACCATCGATAATAATTGCTTCTTCAAGAATTTCAATACGTGATTCACCTTTTTTAAAACCTGCAAGTTCAACAATAGCATATATTTTTTCATCAGTCTCATATAGATTATAAATAGGTTGCCATTGTCCATTATCTTGTGAACCAATACCTATAAAATAACCTGCATCATCATAAAGAAGTTTTGGTGAGAGTTTTAATGGATAAGGATTTTGTTCAAGATCTTCTAATTCTCTTCGTTGAGTAAGTACAATATGGGGTTTTCTAATATGCATTTGTACTTGTAATTTCTGTGTATTATTATCGATAAATAATTGTGGAAGTTTCGTATTAACAAAATTTATCATTTCATTAATAACATCAAGATCTCTTCTACAATCTTGCGCTGTTTGTAAAATATTCATTATACCATCAATAGATTGTCTATTCCATATTTTTCCTGCTTCAAATCCATGTTTTGTAAAAATGAAATGACGAAGTGTAATACCATTTTGTTTCGAATGAAAAAATTTGATATCATTCGATATATTATTAACTTGTAATTTCATTATATCAAGTTTAGCACCAAAAAGATATTCAACTTCTTCTTTTATTATTTTATTTACATCTTCAATTGTTTGTACATCCATTAAATTGTGAACAATAATTATGTTTTTATTTGAATTAGAACTTTCACAATGTTTCAAAACTTGTTGAATATATGATTGATCTGTAGCACGTAGACGATTAACAACAATAATGATGTATGAACATAAGTAAAGAGCTATTTCTCTTAGAAGAGCTTCTGTAGCTTTTTTATCATCAAGTTTATCTCTTGGTATGGGAGTATCAGTACCAGCAGTATCAATAAAAATTATATTTTCAGCTAAATCTCGTCCTGCTGTAATAGATATACCTTCTGTATGTATTAAATTACCATTAGGTAATTCAATATTACAAAGTTGATTAAGTAAAAATGACTTGCCACGATTATATGAACCAACAACTGAAACGATTACACCGTGATTATCTGCAGGTGTTGATAGTTCTGATATGGCATCCTTTGTATTTTGTCCAAGTATAATATCCCAACCAGTTGTTTGTAATGCATTAATACTATTAATACGAATAATAATATCATATGGTGTATCAGATGGTTCTGGAGGATTTTCATATATATAAGATGACTCTTTAGGAATTGGATATAAATAAGTTGAATTAGTTTCTTGTTTATCACAGGATGGTTTATTAGCACCACGAAGTTTTTCTAAACCTTTAAGAATAGGACGTAATGCTGCCATACTAAATATGAAATAAAAATACTATAAAGATTAAAAGGGTGTGGGTGTGGAGTGGGTATGAAAAAGAACTATCATAACGCATTTCAATCTTCTTTAAAGGTCTTGATTGATGGCAAAAGAAGTTACATGAGAAAATACAAAATTCATAAATTAGAAGATATCATTCCGTATTACTGCTTTATATTATCTATAAAGCAGATGATTCATGGAAGAATATGGTAGTGAATGTAGTTGATTAATATTATTGAGACAAAAAAAGGAAAAGTCGAAATGAATCATTTTCTTGTCTGCCTATAGTAAAAGTAGAATAAGAGAAACTTACCTTAAGACTGAGATTTAGAAGAGTGATTAGTAGTTGTGGAGTGAATGTATAGTTTTGATGGATGCTGTTAATTTTATTGTTTGTTATATCAGATAAAGCAAGCAATAAACAAGTTATTGAGTGACGGTTAGTTTTAGGAGTATATATAATAGAAAAAGAAAGGTGAACTTTGTTTCAATGAAAATGAAAAATGAAAATAACGAAGAAAAAGTGGCATTTATATACATATACTGTAGAATTGCAGTGTTTATATTATATATACAACTATTTTATATGATTGTTGCGCGCTTTTACAGGAAATTTCCATTTTTACGTATGCATGCTTACGTGACAGAATGCGATTTGAAATAAAATGAAAGAATGCATCATATAATATATCATTTTTCTAATAAAGTTAAAGGAATGGTATTGTGTTTGTTGCGATGTACAAGAATATCTTTGTTTTTTTTTGTTGGAAATAAAGAAAAGAGTAATCATTGACGATCTACGGAGGAATATTCTATTATCTACAATATAAATGTATATTCTTCTTATGGTATTCTACATTCACTACCGTTATTAGACTCAAATCATTGGTTAACATACTATTTTGTATGGTATAATTCATAGGCTGTAACAATAATTATGTTTAGATTAAAATATTTTATTTATCTTTCAACATAAATATCAATTTCATCAAATCAATCTTTTTTAAAAGTTCAATGTTATTTATTAGATTTTCTTCTTCGAATTTGTCTTAATATGGATTAATAATTGAATACATGTGTGGCAATGAAAAGAGCAATAACAATTATTAAAGATGCTTAATTTGATACAAAAAAAAAGTAAATAATTAGCTAAAAAAGTTTTAACATCAATACATGATATATTTTATCGACGTTTATTCGAAGAAAAATATGATGATGATGATGATAGTAAGGAAAGAATTTGGTTTATTCTAAAATATTCTTCAACTTTAGAAATGTATAATCGAATTATTAATACATTTTATTTCTTCTTGCATTACCATGATTAATTCTTACTTCTGTATTGAACAAGAGATTCTTGGTTATTTCTTTGTGGATATTTTATTTCATTTATTCGTCCAATGATTACTTTTCTTGTCTTTGTTTCAGCATTAGAATTTTATAGAAAAAAATTATTAAAAACAGATTCAACAACGTTTTCGTCGAATGTTATAAAGATTAGATTTTGGGGTATTAAATATTTCGTTTTCTTATATTTATTTTTGCTTGTTTGTCTGTTTAATGATGTTTTGGTTGATTATTTTTACTTAACTTATTATTGTTATATGTAGATGTGAACAATTTATTAATAAATAAAGATTGTTGAATATTAGTCAACGTGCTGTCATCGGTACGACATACAAGACACTTTGACATCTGTACCTGGACTATATTTATTACTTTTAGAAGATGAATTAAAAATTATTATAGATACTCTGATTTATACTTATTTGAAACTTATAGTTTATGGAAAATGCTGCATAATTAAGTCCTTTTTCTTACAAGTTTATCTTAGTTATCTACATAATATTTATATACAGACTTTCTGTTGCAAAAATACAACAAGCAGAAGGATAAAAGCTAGTTTAAACATTTACCAATAGAAATCCTTTTTTTTCACTTACGATTTTTAAACAACAAACATGACTCAACACGTTTTTTCTCTCTTAAAGCAAATCAAACATTTATTTTTCGTGAACTACTGCTATGGGTAGTCAACCATGACAATATTTCATTACTGTGTTTTTTTCGTTCTTCATTATAGTTATTTTTCATAATTACATCATCACGAGGTAAAGAAAAAACCATTTTGAAATAAAGTAAACATTTATAAAACGAATAAGTTTTGATCATTACATCACCAGTAAATTTTACACAACCAACAATGAGCAATAGAAAATCAACAACAACTAACAAATATGATGGTGCAATGAAGACATTTTCTTTTGCAGAAGATGCAGAACGTCGTCAACATATCAATATTCAAAACATGCAAAATGTTCTTCTTATTTGGTTAGACAATAACATTGACGAGACAAATGATGATTGCCAAAATACAATCAAACAACTGCGACGGGCTATCAAAGACATTAAAACATTTACAGATGGTGATCAATGTTTGGAATTCATTCAAACAATCATTAATAAAAAAGCATGTATGGTTATATCTGGATCACTTGGAGAACATATCGTACCACGTGTGCACAATATGTCTCAAATAGATTCAATTTTCATTTTTTGTGGCAACCAAAAACATCATGAACAATGGGCTACAGACTGGTCCAAAATAAAAGGTGTCTTCACAGATATTACATCCATCTGTGAAGCACTCAAGAAAGCTGCTCATCAATGTGAGCAGAATGCCATTCCCATGAGTTTCGTGGGAACAAATAAAAATTTGGATCAGTTAGATCCTTCTTTCATGTATACTCAAATCATCAAAGACATATTACTCAGCATACAATTTGACCAAAAACACATTCAAGATTACCTTAATTACTGTCGTGATATTTTTGTTGACGATGAAGAAGAAATGGTTCATATTAAACAATTTGAAGATGAATATCACGACGAACCACCAATTTTTTGGTACAGCTGTGATATGTTCCTCTATCCCATGATCAATCGTGCATTACGATTGTTGGATGGTGATATCATTACACGGATGGGCTTCTTCATTGGTGATTTGCATAGAAATATTGAACAACTACACAAGGAACAATATGCTGGTAAAACTGCTGCTGACACCTTTACCCTTTATCGTGGACAAGGTTTATCTAAAAAGGATTTTGAGCAACTGATGAAAACTAAAGGTGGTCTTGTTTCATTTAACTATTTTCTATCTACCAGTAAGAACATCGAAGTTTCACTAGATTTTGCACAAAAAGCAACAAAAAATCCAGATCAAGTGGGAGTTCTTTTCATCATTCAGATTAATTCTGCTCAATCAACAACACCCTTTGCTTCTATTGCAAGCATCAGCGCTATGAAAGAAGAAAATGAAGTCTTATTTTCGATGCATAGCGTGTTTCGGATCCAGGATATCAAACAGATGGAACCAAATAATAGTTTGTATGAAGTTAACTTGACACTTACTAGTGATAATGACCCAGAACTGAACAAACTTACTGATTACATTCGACAACACACTTATCCAGACCATGATGGATGGTACCGATTGGGATTGGTACTAGGTCAAATGGGTCAATATGACAAAGCAGAAACTATTTTTCAAATTTTACTTGATCAAAAAGAGGATGATGAACATAAGGCGTCTATTTATCGTCAACTCGGTATAATCAAAGCCTATCAAGGAAAATATCTAGAGGCACTTACATTCCATGAACAAGCACTTGGTATCGATCAAAAAACTCTTCCTCCGAATCTTCCCCGTTTGGCTGGTTTATACTGCAATATCGGTAATGTGCACAACCACATGGGTAATTATCTGAAGGCACTCTCGTTTCACGAAAAAGCCCTTGAAACACGACAAGAATCACTTTCTGCCACTGATCCTGATTGGGCTGGTTCCTACAGCCACATTGGTGATGTGCATGCCAACATGGGTGATTATCCAAAAGCACTTTCATCTTATACAAAAGCCCTTGAAATAAGTCAAGAGTCGCTACCTTCCAATCATCCTAATTTGGGTCAAACCTACAACAACATTGGTACACTGCATGCCAAGATGAGTAACTATCCAGAAGCACTTTCATCGTTTGAAAAAGCCCTTGAAATTAAACAACAGTCACTTCCTCCCAATCATCCTGATTTAGCTTTTCCCTACGATAACATTGGTAATGTGCACGCCCATATGGGTAATTACTCCGAAGCGCTCTCATCTTATACAAAAGCCCTTGAAATTCAACAGCAATCACTTTCTCCCAATCATCCTAATTTGGCTGGTCCCTACAACAACATTGGTACACTACATGGCAGTACGGGTAACTATCCGGAAGCACTTTCATCGTTTGAAAAAGCCCTTGAAATAAGTCAACAGTCACTTCCTTCCAATCATCCTGATTTGGCTGGTCCCTACGACAACATTGGTCATGTGCATGCTAACATGGGTGATTATCCAAAAGCACTCTCGTTTCACGAAAAAGCCCTTGGCATCCGACAAGAATCACTTCCTTCCAATCATCCTGATTTGGCTGCGACCTACAGCAACATTGGTATAGCGCATGACAGAATGGGTAATTATCCAGAAGCACTCTCGTTTCACAAAAAAGCCCTTGACATCCGACAAGAATCACTTCCTTCCAATCATCTTGATTTGGCTGCGACCTACAGCAACATTGGTATAGTGCATGACAGAATGGGTAATTATCCCGAAGCAATCTCATTTTACGAAAAAGCCCTTGACATCCGACAGCAGTCACTTCCTTCAAATCATCTTGATTTGGCTTATTCCTACGGGGATATTGGCAATGTCTATCGCAACATGGGTAATTATCCAAAAGGACTTTCATCTAATGAAAAAGCCCTAGAAATACTACAACAATCGCTTTCTCCCAATCATCCTGATTTGGCTGGTTCCTACTACAACATTGGTAATGTGCACGCCGATATGGGTAATTATTCCGAAGCACTTTCATCGTTTGAAAAAGCCCTTGAAATTCGACAGCAATCACTTCCTCCCAATCATCATGATTTGGCTGGTTCATACAACAACATTGGTAATGTGCATGGCAAGATGGGTAATTATCCCGAAGCACTCTCATTTCACGAAAAAGCCCTTGAAATAAGGCAACAATCACTTCCACCCAGTCATCCCCATTTGGCTTATTCCTACGGGGATATTGGCAATGTCTATCGCAGCATGGGTAATTATCCAAAAGGACTTTCATCTAATGAAAAAGCCCTGGAAATACTACAACAAACGCTTCCTTCCAATCATCCTGATTTGGGTCAAACCTACAACAACATTGGTGAAGTACATAACGATATGGGTAATTATCCAGAAGCTCTTTCATTTCACGAAAAAGCCCTTGATATTCGACAACAATCACTTCCTCCTAATCATCCTGATGTGGCTGAGTCCTACAATAGCACTGGTAACGTGCATAGGAACATGGGCAATTACTCTAAAGCCTGTATTTTTTATGAACATGCTATACAAATCGGAGAACAATCATTACCTTCAAGTCATCCGGATCTTCAAAAGTATAGAAATAATCTCGAAGATGCAAAAAACAAATAATACATTGTATTGTTATGAGTCTTTTTTTATAAAAGAGAAATAATAAAATTTTTAAACAAGAAAAGAATTGTTTTAAAGTGCGCGCATACAGAGAAACTCGGATTTTATTGAGACACAAATGAGTGGTAACACCTATCGGTAAGGTAAACAATACTTATCACGAGCCACGTGTGATAGAAAAAGATCTCCACGATATATAACTATTGTATCTGAATACGATAGATTTTCTTTGTGTTGAGTAGGAAAAGTAACGAAAAGAAAGAGAAAGAACTATGTTCATTCAAAAGATGAATTATTCTTTCTGTTCCAATAAAAAGGATAATTCATATGTATTGAATAAATAAATGATTTCCAGAAATATTAACATACTGTAGAATAGATTAGTATGTTAACATAAATAGAAAACACTTCTAAACTCAACGCAATGGAATTGGATGAGATGAAAAGAGTGTATATATATAGTGTCATCAACGAGATGGATAATGAAAGGGTAAGACATAATCATTATGGACACATGAATCTAGTTGTTCGTGTAGTTTAGAAGAACCATTATATGTGATATACAATGAATGTAATGCCGGATGGATTATGTTTATTCTAATACCATATATATAAAAAGTTACGATTAAATGAATTAACGATTTTGACTGAATACTATTCAAATCGATATTTAATATCTATTAATCAATCAAGAATATTCATATAAAATAGTAAGTTGATTGTTAGTTATGATAAAAATGATGCTGAAAAATCTTGAGGGTGTGGGTGTGGGTATTATCTCTGCGTACCTTTTCTGTTGGAAATCAAAGGTCACGCTTTTTTTCTTCAAATTCAGAAAAAATCAAAATATACTATTGTATGCAAAAAATTCTAATTTTTTACAAAATATCCTTTTATTTAACATTAATTAAGAATTAGTATTTGTACATGTAGTAGAAGTTCTGTTAAATTTCAGCACTCCACGTCCTGCATCAAAACCATATAGATTTCCCAATCTATCAAATATCATTTCTTCCAGCAAAGAATTTGATATTGTCTTGTCTTCACGACCGCGATAATCTTTCAAAATTGTAACATTAAATTTACCATCAGACGTCAATATACTTATTTTCTCATTGATAGCTAAAAGTATATTGCCAGTTTTATCCGCAATCAGCGCCCAGCCATAGTTAAATGTTGGCTGTACATCAGAAAATATTTCTTTCTTAATTGTTGCATCAAAAATTACTGTTCCTATTGTCGAACTATTCGTAAATTTTAGAATGCGAGGACCGATTTGATCCATTAAATATATTGTATTATCAATTTCACTGACCGCCAAAGCAATTATTACTCCTGTCTCACCGGTAGTATATTCAGATCCATACCCATCGGCGACTAAACTTCCAGAAGGATTATTAACTGTCCATTTGATGACATAATTTTTGACACGAAATAATACAAATATATCCCCACCTGAATTAACATATAATCCGTCACACTTTGATTCTATACGATACTGACCAATGCCAGACATTGTATTATTAAGAACATTTACTGGTTTAGAATGGTTACTATCAAGTCTGTAAATACCTGAATCTTCTTCCCACGTGTAACAAAAGTACAAGGATTGAGATAATGAATGATAGAACAATGCAGTATCACCAAAGTTTCCGCTAAAATATCGTTGGATTAATTTATTACTAGATGACCATTTTTCTAAACTGTGAAGACCTGCATTTATAACGTATACATTAAAATCATCATCGACAGTGACACTTTTGTAATACCCCTGACTTACTATTTTATCACCTACGGTTTCCCATCCGACTGGAAAACAATATTCCGATGCTAAATAAAAATTTTCTTATTTCCAAAACAAAAGAAAAAATCTTCGTACATGTTGTTTCTGATTCATTCGTTCTGGTAGGAGTAGAATCTATTAAATTATTCGTATTTGTAGTTGTCGAAATTGATGGAATTATCGGTTTTGATGAAGTTGTCGGTATCGATGGCTCTGGTCTTTTTAATGCTAGTGATAACAAAATTAAAATGATGAGCAAAAGAAACATCACAACAATATTTATGATAATTATAACAAGCTACGATATTTACGCTTGCTATACACTCTAAAAATAATTGGTAGTCTATTAAGCCCCAAGAGCTCGGTAGAGCACCAACTTTTTTAGAGTGTAATTGCAGATACAACGGATTTTAGATGATAGAATTATGATATGTTTTTGTAGCAAGATATCTTACCAGAAGTTTCAGTTTTTAATGTAGAATGACGTTCTAAAATAATATGGTCATATTTTCAGAGATCGATGAAAGTGACTGTACAGTACCTGTTGTTGTACTAAATGTCGTGCAATCTAAACCGACGCAATTGTCTAAACTCGAAGTTTTATCTTTTAATTTAATATTGATACCAAAAATTACTCCTAATGTCAAAATCAAGGTAAAAAATATGATAGCAAATGCTGTAATAACATATCGCTTTCGACAGTATTGATTTATATTATGCAAGAAATGTTTCTTTTCCACTTGAATTATTTCAATGTTAATCTGTTCTAAAATATCTACTGCACTCATTATAATTTTTGATAATTGATTTTCTTCATCATTTATAATATCATCGATTCTGAATATAGAACAAAGACTAAATAAAAATTCTTTTTCATCCTCCATATCTGAAAGTTGCGTAATATCAGCAAATACAACATTATTCGAATTATATTTAGTTCGAATTTCATATATGACTGATTCATATTCAGCTGACTCAGATCCTGAAAATATTAGTGCAACATTGTAATCACTTGTAGTTGATAAAAATCCATTGAATGATATTAAATTACCAATATTCTCTTTGATGTTTTCAAATTGATCCATAGGCATATTCTCATGTCCACGAAACACTGTTAATGGTGTGTCTGATTGATTTTGTTTATGTAAATGTTCTAATTGTTTACATAAATCTTTAATATAAGGTCGAAATACATTTATCTGTTCCATATCAAGAGATCTCAATGCTTTATTCAGTAGTCGATAAAGAAAACTATTTCTTGTATACCATTTAATCGCTGTTTCTGCTGTATAGGTATATTTAAATTCTTCAATTTTTTTTTTCTGTTCGTTATTCGTTCGATAATATTTTGTGCATTCATCAATCATCTTTTCTCTGTTATCTGATGACCATGGATAATGTTTCAAGATTTCAATATATTGTTTATAGAAATTAAAGTCTTGATTATTATTTTTGAGACTAAATATAGGTTGTAAATTTCGATCCATAAGAAGAAAATCTGTCGATGGATGTAATTCATTTTCAATTGATTCCTTTAGTAATTGTTCATCAGTGCAAATGTCCATTATTTTTCGACATTCTGTCAGTAAATATTGACAATTAGTAGAATCTTTGCAAAATATAAGTATTGACGATATTTCTCGTAATAATGATAAAGATAATTTAGGAAGTATTTTCTTCGCAAAACTTCCTGAAGTAATAACTATAAGTTTCGTTATTTTAGACATACTTCCAATCTCTTCAAGAAATATTTCCAAATTGTTGTACAGTTTGTAGTTAATATCTGCTATACTTTCAAACATAGCGATTGTCAGATTGGTATCATGTGAAGTTAAATTCAATGCTTCTTCATCTAACCATATTAAAGTATTATTGGTAACGTTGTGGCTTGCGGTGGTAGTAGTTGTTGTATTGAGATCTTCATCCTCTAATGGATAATATGAATAATTATTTTTTTTCATCGTTGATATAACTTGTCAAGAAAATTAGAAGTCAATGTAATAAATAATCTAAAACGTTTGATAAAAATAAAAAGTGAGAAGCATTGATCTGTTTCTTCAGTAGGAAACTTCTCTTATTATTATTCTTATTTTTATTCAAGCAAAGCATTACTTATCTCACATTTCTATTGAAAAAAATAGGTATTTCAAATATACTTTAAGTTATTTTTTATGCATACAAAAAAATCACCCATTTATCAAAAAAAAAGGAAGAGAATGAAAACGATGCGCCTTCAGTCACACTATTTTAACGAGAAAGATTTTACACTAGTATTTTTCTTTGATAATCGAACACGTTTTGATATCAACAAATATAGTATGGTGATGAAAAAAAAATATGTTAACCGTTATTTACATCGGAAGAAAAAGAAAAAAAATCGATGATCACAAACGATGTATAGTTTTGCACTTTAATAAATAGAGCTTGCAAAGACATAGAGTAATTCTTGTACATCTTTTTAAAAATTAAAGAACAGAGATAGCTCATAATAAGTGGGTGTGGGTGTGAGTGTCTATCATTCTGTTCTTTTGTATTTCTCCGAAAGGAAACAATGTCTCGTTGACTCGATTATATGATACAAATATTCTAAAGTCACTGACTGATTTTATACGCAGTATTGGTATAGTTCAAGAATATTTTTCAGAGAGAAAAAGTAGCAAATACTAATCTTAAACTATTTTTCAATCAAAAATTTGAATTGTAATACTATATATTTAGGTCACGAACAGAAATGTTTAATGATCGACATAAAAGATTATGGTTTTCTAGATACACAAACATTTTGTATCATTAAATTCTGTATTTAATCCATAAGAGATAACTTTCACATCAAAACCATCTTCGATTACCATGATCCATTTCAAGATTTGAGACGGACTTTTAATACAGAATTCGTCATAGCGTGGATCAGAATGACAGAAATAACTTGTATCATGTGTAGACCACCAATCATTTTTGCCACGATTTAAATGTCTTTCTTCTGGATTTAATGTCAACACATATAAAAGCAACATGACGATTCGTTTTTCGTTCTGTTCCTTCTCTTGATTGAGCAATTAGCATAGCTGACTTCGGATCCGTTTGATAAAATCCAATATAAAGATTTTTTCCAGGCATTGTTTGTTCAAGATCAAAAAACCGTAATTGTGGATTATAACCTTTGAAATGAAATATGAAAATATGTTCCAAATCACGATTTTGACATTGAGGACCTTTCGAACAAGCTTTATCACCAAAACGCATAGTACGATTGTCGCCCAATAATGTATAAGGAATAAATCGTTTATGTTTAGATGATAATGGTTTATCTGGTATTTCGAAATCTTTCTCGATTAAATGTGGCTTATAATGCCACCATACACGATAATGATATAGCAACAATAACAGCCAGACTTTTTATTGTTATATTATGTTGAACAGCTAAACAGTACGCTATCATTGCCATACGGACACATGATACTAACATAATAAATATGAATTGTAATTTAAAACGTAATCTGGGACGTGCACGATAACAAACAGGGACACACACCTATGGGAATTATGAATAGAGAAAGTACAACGGTGGATAAGATTATTGTTTGAATTGCACCAATAAAAAAGAGTGTAACAATAATAATCATATTCATAGAACCGATTGTTTCCAACTGATTATTGTCTGGATGTTCACCTTTGAAAAATAGATCTTGATGACTCGTACTAATAAGCATGAATAATGTTATAGTTAATACTGTTTCAAATATGATAATTAGACCATGAAAATAAACACGTGAACGATAAAAACAAGAATTAGAACATATCTTTTTTCTATTCTAACAGTTGAAATCTACAAGATTTTACTATGTCTCTTTACAATAATAAATGGCTTATCTATTGATTTATGAATAGAAAGAGAACGAAACCCTTTTATTATCAGAGTAAAAGAAATACATTGTTTGCCACGGATAAAGTATTCGTTTTCCACGAAAAACAATAGTATTTATATAACTTTTCTCAATTCCAATTAAACAAAGTATTCGTCTATGATCAGCAGTGGATATTTTTGATACTATTCCTAAGACAGATTCAAGAATACTAGTAGTATTGTTGAGATCATATAGATATCATCAGATTCCGCATCCTCATCTTGGGTAACTGCATTTATTTATTAAGTCATAAAAGGCTAAACCGATCGCAATATTCAGAATTATCTGACATGAGAGAAATATTTGTCTTTCTTGGATTCTTCTGTTATTTTCTCTATACAACTATATGTCTGTGAAATATAATCAAAAACAAATATTTATTCACTTCAAAATACCTTTAAGAGATAAAGACTTTTTCTGGCTTGCACCTTTTTACAATCTCTTTTATTTACTGTATGTATAGAAATGGCTGAATGTGAGCATTTACGCGTTGGTCGAGAATTTTTAGAAAGTGTTTCATGGCCTTTCGCATTTCGTCAAGAAGCTCATGATCGATGTTATTGTGAACGATGTTATCCGCCGCATTTGAGAGATACAATGGATGTAGCTAATTACACATATGTCATACCACGTGGATGGACTCGGTTTGCTATATCGGTTGATGAAGGCTTTTTTAATCATCACGATGTATGGGATAAATGGCTTAATTGTTATCATGGAACATCTATTGAGAATGCCAAATCTTGTGTTGAACATCGACACTTACTTTTACCTAATGATACTACCATGCATGGTAAGAAATTGGAAATACGAGAAGGTCATATTAAAGGAGAACATTATGTATTTACAACACCATCGATTACTTATGCTGCACTTGATTACTATGCTCATACATATCACTTTCAATCACCTTATAATTCGCAAATCTATACTATAAAAGTAGTATTGCAATGTAAACAAAAGCCTGATTCTATTATTGTTCAGCCTGAAACTGTTGACGCACGTCGACAAGGAATAAAAATATGTCGTTACATCCCAAATGACAAACTAGAATGGAAAACACAGCATCGTTCAACTGTTACGATTTATGGACTACTACTCGAGGTAAAGCAATATCATGTACACAATCATTCAAATTCATTTCAATATCAACAAATACGCAACACTCAGAGTATGTGTAAATCAGTTTCACTTGATTCATAATATCATAAATTCTATGACACGATTTAAGCTATCATATCTTTTATTCGATAGATGTGTCCTATGAGTCAGCAACAATTTCACAAACGCCATCACCACCACCATTTAAAACAAAAGTTAGTACTATATCCAACTCAGAAAACATATTTTTACCTACTACAGAGAAGACTCATCGAGAACCAATGTCAAAAAAGCGAATAGCATTGTTAATCCTACTAGTCATAGCAACTATTTTACCAATATCGGCTCTAATCTTTGGCCAGATATACAAAAATGATTGTCCAATTCAACCTTGGATTCCACGGTGGATGACTATTTTTGGAGCCGTAGGTCTGGCCACCTTTGGTTTGCTTTTTATTATAGTAAAGCTTTTATCTATCTATTTTTAAAAGTCATACGATTTTTTTAGTTACTGATAACGTTTAAAAGTTGCTCTGATGATATTTTTATTGGAGGTGGTATCAGTGGTTGCGTCTCATGTTTATTGGTATTCTTCTTTCTCGGATGGTTAATAACGGTAAAATGCACACGACATGCTATTACTATAAATATTATTTTGATTTTAATAGGGAAGTATATGGGTATTTCCTGCTAAATCGAAAGTTCAATACAATCAATACAATGAAACAAACTACTGTCAAGAAAATCTATATAAGTTCACATTTGGATTATTGCTCGCACAATATTCACTGATTGGTCTTGTCATATGCTGTGGTGGTATTCTAGCCTTATTGGGTTTATGCCTTGGCTAATAGTATTAGAAATTATGAAACACATAGAAATAAAACTTGATCCATATTATCTGTATTAAAATACATCTAGAGGTTCACAGCAGTAGATATGTCGTTAAAAGTGTCATATTAATATTTTAAATATTTTCACGTATCCGTATAGGCTTGAATAAAGAATAGTACCGTATTGATTTTCGCAATTCTAGTCGGTGAATACATTCAAAATCATAATTAAGGGTGTCGATGGGTGTGAGAAGATAACAATATCTACACTCACCCACATCTAAATTCGCCGTCTTTGTGTTGCTAAAAATTTTACTTTCAAATGCGCGCAGTGCATCAGATAAGTTATTTGTTGCTTTGTGTTCGAAAATAGTTCTATAATAATCTGGAGTTAAAACTATAGAAGAGATGACTGTTACTTCTATCCTACTCATTTCACTTTTTCTCCGAATTGAATAATATTTTTATCAGTCTCTTTTGTCGTAGAAACATAAAAGAAAAGCATAAAGCAGATAACGATATTCAAAGGCAAATAAAAAAAAGAAAGTAGAAGTATGTTATTATAGGTAAGATAGGAATGAGAGAAATCAACAAAAAAACTTCGTTCTATGGTGTTCTTTATTACAAATGGCCGGAAAAACTCGAGGGCAGGTGAGTGTAGGTATCAGTAGTAGTCTAACACACAAACACATCCACACCCTGCTAACTTTACCTACATTTTATAGTTCTACTTTCAAAAATAAAAGTCTCAAATGACAAAAGTATTTTTTATTATATTTTTGAGAATACAAATATTTCAAGAAAATCTTTTACTTCACTGATCAAAATGAAGAAAATGCTGAATCTTTTTCATTTAAAATTATAATGAAGAAAATTTTGACTACATTAAAAATCTTCGAAATGAAAAATCTAATTAGAATTTTATATCAATTCAAAACTTTTATTATTTTTTCATTTATTTTAAATTTTTCGTTCATTTTCCTTTCAAAATTCTTTCTTTTTTGTTTTCATCTATACGAAAGTGCTCTTTGATTTATTAACGAAGAATCTATCCAACATTTGTTTCGTTCGCTAAATTTTAGTTCGATTTTAATTATCAATTTTTCGTATAACAGTTTTTTTCTTTTTAATTTAGAACAATTCTTGAATTTCATCAAATTGCAAAAACAAAAAACATCTGATTATTTTCATCAAACAAAAATATTCAAATAGAATTTTATTAAAAATAAAATCGTCTTTTTGAATAATTTGTTATTTCAGTTCAATTCAAATTACAATATATTTTCTGGACTTTTTTAGTCAAAATTATCAAGTTAAATTTAATTTTGAAAGAAAAACAACTAAAAAGACTTTCCCACGTTCTTTTCTTATCAATACATTTCTTTTTCTCCAAATTCTGTTCGACTTTTTGCATTCATTTTCAATAGTAAAACTTTATTTTTTCTTTTATTTTTATTTCTAGATTTTTTATTTAACAAAAAATTTCATTCACAATACTATTTCGAACTTTTCAATGCGATGATTACAACAATCAGCAACATAAAGATTTCCTTCATCATCAAAAGATAAACCACGAGGACCATCCAATTGATTTCCTTGACCATTTCCACCAACAACAATTTCACCTTGTTCTTGTCCTTCACACCAACGTATTACTCGGTGATTCCCCCAATCTGCTACATAGATTTGACCCAAATCATCAACAATTACTCCTGTAGGATAAGATAATTGGTTGAGATTTCCTCCTTGACCATTTCCTCCAGCCACAATTCTTCCTTCTTTTGCACCTTTTCTCCATTTCATCACACGATTATTGTGAAAATCTAATACATAAACAGATTGTTCTTTATCAACAAAGACAAAACCTGGATAATTCAGTTGATTAAGTTGATTTCCTTTTCCATTTCCACCTGCCACTACAGTTCCTTCGTTGTTATATTCACCCATTTTCCATCGTCGCACTTCATTCTTCCCTTGATCAGAAACATAAAGAAACCCATGTTTATCCATTGCTAAACCATAACAGTCAATGTTGTGAATGAGAATTTGTTGATTTTGATTCTTCCATTGAATCACCCGTTTGTTCCCATGATCAGCAATGATGATTGAATTATTTTGTTCATCAATAATCACATCTGTTGGCCCATTCAATTGATTCATTCGATTTCCTTGTCCATTTCCACCTGCAATGATTTGTCCTTCCTTTGTATTATATTTCCATTCAACAATACGATGATTATGACCATCAGCAACGAAAATATTTTTCTTCTCATCAATGAAGATTCCTTCAGGGTAACTGCATTGATTTAATTGTTGCCCATATCCATTTCCACCAGCCACGGTGATAGCATTTTGTTTCCACTCGTTGAAATTTGATTCTAGGAAACAATGAAAACAAAAGATTTTTATGAAAAGAAGGAGAAGAAAATTTGTTTTTGATCGAAAAAAAAAGAAAAGATTAATTTCGATTAAAATTTTGATTTTTGTTTTTTCCTGTTCTATTTATTATCCAGTTAGAAATTATTTTTCAAAAACTTACTTTTTGATGAAATAATTGAAATTTCATTAATAAATGACTGTGAGTCTTCTTTAATAAAAATCTTTGATGGATTGTTTAATTCTTCTGTCATTTCTTTCAATTGATTTCTTAAATAATCTAAACTAATTTCATTACATTCATTTTCTTTTTGTATTTGTTTGATTTGTTCATCGAAGTCTTTAAATTTCATTTCAATATCATTAATACATGCTTGAAATGATTTAGTAACATTTTCTCTGTACTCTTTTGCTTTTTGTTGAATTTTGTCAATTGATTCTATTTCCCATTGATCAATTTGTTCTATTAATAAATGATTATGTGGATTTTGTTTTTGTTCATTAATTGTTTGTTGAAATTCATTGTATTGATAAGTGATAGAATGTAATTCACTAGTTAATATTTCACAGTGTTCTGTTAAATCCGTTAAACAAAATTCTTTTGAACATCCTTTACAATGAAATGTTATTTTTTCTTCATTACATGTGTAACATAGTGTTTTGTTATTTGCCATTGCCATATTTTTGAATAGAAGTTGATAGACGAAATGACTATATTCTTATCTGCTTTTATAGATGTTATAGCCAAACTTCAAATCTGACTAGTCGAAATTGAACTTTAATTTTGACTAGTCAGAATTGAAATTTCAATTTGGACTGAGAATATATTAGACAAAATTGAAATTTCAATTCTGACTAGTCAAATTTGAGTTGTGACCGAATCTCACTGATAAAACTAATATAATATCTAAGATGGTTGGATAAAAGTAGACAATCGATTTTATTTTTATTTGAAATAAAAAATCTACAGCTTTATCTACCAGATGAATAGTATATCAATCTCTTTTTCATTCATTTTTCGTATTATTTTAAAAAACAAACTTACCAAAATGAAAGTATTTCAAAGAATGGAATTTTTAAACTTTTGATGTTTTATAATTATTTCGATATAAACAAGAATTTTGTAAATATCTCACTTTAAATTCCTTTTTCATCGAAATAAATAAAGAAACTGTTAGAAAGCGCACGTGATAAGATAAAAAGATATATGTGTCTGGTTTCTGATAATTAAGCATTGAGAGAAAGACTGTTGTTCATTGATTCATTATTAGATTCTCTTGTTAGATTTTTTTCAAATAAAAAGATAAAATAGCTTTATTTTTAACAATAATTAGATTTAATCATAAAAATGCAAGTATTGTATATAAAAGAATATTCTAAAACTTATTTTTATATATCTCAGTATAGATTCATATGTGAAAATTAAATGTTTATTTAAATAAACTTTTAATAATTTTTAGATGAAGAATATTTTTAATGATCAAATATCATAATAATGATCAATATTTAATAAAAATCGATTTAATAAAGAATAATATGATATATTCATCATTAGTTTTATCATATTAAAATCTAATCAATATATCAATGTACTGAATATTATTTTTACAAGAATATTATTTGAAGTGAATCTTTGAAAATTTAATAAATGTTTTTAAAAATAAAATATGATTTTATCATATTTATTAAATAATTAACATAGAAATCGAATTTGTGAGAATTTAATGAAACAATAATATTATTATTCATATTTGATTTAATGTAATAAAATTTAAATGATATCAATATTGATATGATGAGAAAGATTTTATAAAAATGAGATTTCTTAAGATCATTAATATTCTAAAAACTGAATATTTATAAACCGATATGAATAACAACAGAAGAAAAAAACAAATATTAAAATTGAATATGATGATCTTAAAGAGAGTAAGTTATGTGATATGTTCTCGTTAAATAATTGAATAAAATTTGGTAGATAAATTATAAAATAATAATAAAATATCTTTTTATTTATTAAATCATGAAAAGTATATTGAAGAATTTCAACAAAAAATCTATTCTATCATAAATAATATTTATTTCTATAATAGATTTCAGTTTTTGTTCCATATTCAATTCGTTCTGTTGAAAGTAAAAAATAAATCTTTATTATTTATTTTCCTTCATTCAATCATATATGTCGACGTGTTAATATTCTTTTTTGTAATGGAAATTGTTCCATTAGGTATTTTTTCAGCTTCACATTTTGCTAATTTCTTTTTATGATAAGCAAGAAAATCTTCTTTATAATCATAGCTTTCGTTTAGTTTTGCTCAGAGGAGGAGGGGGGGAGGGATTCAAGAAAGAAAGTCACCGAAGTGAAAGAGAAACGTTTTACACGTTCGTTTTTTATTGCGCTAAAATGTAGTGTTAGGTGATGCTTTCGAGACAGCGTTATTCAATAGATGTTTTTTTTTCGTTGTTGTTTGTGGAACAGAATTTTTTTAAAGAAGAAATATCGCTGAAATCATTTATCTGTTTTTATTGCTTTTAGAATTTTTTCCTTGAAGATTCTAACAGATATTAGTTTAAATTGAAAGAGAAAATAGCATGTATTGCCAGAAACTGTTCGTATGTGATACAGCACGCAGTTCTCTCTACGTTTATATAGAGAAAACTATTTTGTACTAGAAAATACAACAAATTTGTTTGTGTACAGCTCGTCGTGCTTACTAAAAGATAAAGAGACGTACGTTTCTAAAATGCTCAGAGAGAAAGCCAATATAAAAAACAAATTAAGGAGAGAAAATACCCTCTTATCTCCTCCCTAACCGTATGGCTTGGACAATATCCGTCAATATTTGAAAAGAATGAAACAATTATTAAATTTTTTTAAATAAAATTATCTATAAAACTAATTCTATATTGGATATAAAATAAATGAATAATAGCATTTTTCAAACAAATATGCTGTGAAAAATGAATACGAAACATTTCATCAATGATAAATAAATGATTGTGATTAGAGATGCACCATTTCCAATTCCAATCAGTTTCGATCAAAAATATTCAAAGAACTTTTAGAAAATCATTCTAAATATAGTTCAGATTTATATAATACTTGTTCTAATCATTCAGAACTACTGAAATTTTGTTGAAGATATCTCATTTCGTTTATGTCATTGGAATTTCCAATGCGAATACTAAGCGCTATTCTTAGAAAAAATATCATTTGATTTATTTGGATAATTTAACAACTTTCCATTGAGTAATTTAGTACTATTACAAAAAAAGTATATTTAAATTCTGAAATAATTATTAGTCTTATTTACCTGATGAATAATATAAGAAAAATAAAATTTTGTACTCAGTAATCATGATAACTCAAAAATATTAGCATGAATAATCAAAAGAAAGGAAACAAATATTACGTGGAAAATCCCATGTCAAAAAATATTCTACTATTAAAGCGTGTCTATAGAGGCATATAAAAGCTCTACTCTTTCGATATTATTTCACTTTTTTTATTATTTGACAAGAAAAATATTAGTTAACCTTTTGATTACGGGGCTTTTTTTAAGGTGAATCTTTTTTTTTCATCCTAAAACAGTTTGAAATAACTTTTATTAACATATAGACGCATTTAAAAGTGGGTTTGGGTATACGTGTGGGGGGTATCTTATTTATCTCACCCACACCTCAATTTCAAGTATCTGTCTGGCTAAGAGTATAAAAGGAAATGCATGTAAGAACACTCATACCTAAAGTACGCCATTGCTTTCACAAAAATTTGCGATTTCTTTTTTCTGCATTCACGCAATACAAGAGCGGTACAAAGTAGGTACAATAGAATTTTTCTTTAGAATTTATATTGTATTCACTCATATGATATGAAATTGAAAAATTTTCTCTTTCCTTGAAAATCTATGTTCGTAGTACCACAACAAAACATATGAGTTTTTTCGCTGCCGATAACAAAAGTTAACATACTGCATTATTCATTAAAGTCTGTAAGTACTATGACTTTTTCTACTAAATTTTATCATAATAATCAGCCACCAAAAGTTTGTGGTCTATTGAAGATCTACTTGACTAATGATACATTTCATGTATAAACTTGAAATAAAGTATTAGCACTAGATAAGAATTTCGAGAACATTTGTTGTTTGAAAATAATCTTTTTTTGTATATGATCAGGTGAAAAATATAATTTATTCATCGATAACGCAAAGAATACCAATGAATTTATATAAAACAAAATTATATCTATTTTGAAATTTTGTGATTTAAGAATTTTCTTTACTCTTTATTATTTAAATAAAAGTTAAATGACAGCTTTGGGTTATATTAAGTACATTTGACAAATACTTTTTTTTATTAACTGGAATATCTCTTACTATTATATTAGTTCTTTCTGAGCGACAAATATACATGTAAGATATATTCTTTTTAGTTTATTACATCAAGGTTCTATCAAACAGTATGCGTAATATAAATATTAATAAAGATAAAAATGACTAAGTAATATTCGTATACCTTGCTGTTTTTCTAAACATATTATAGAATATTTCATGTCTATACAGATAAAAAATAACTATCGCTCGGATTTTATAATTTTGTTGTTTCTCAAAATACAAAAATATTCGATTTGGGCGGCATTTTTTCTAACCGTTACTTTATTGTTGGCATTACCCGAGAATGAGTTACATTCTACGCAGTTGTTATATCGCGCTTTACTTGCTTTTTCATTCCTTCTAAAGAACGAAAAAGAAACAAAAATAGGTTGGAAAATTCCCGGGACAAAAAGAAAATTGTAATTCTTCTAAGAAGAAATATAAAAATTATGGTAAGTGCTTAAGCCACCTTGGGTATGGATGTGGGTGGGTGAGGGCATCTTATTTATGTCACCCACACCCACACCCACACCCGTTTTTTCATGTTTTTTTAATTTTTTCTTCTTTGCTTCTTTGCTCTTTTCATTTTTTGTATTATGCTTCTCAATCCACACCGGTAATGGTAAAAGTATATACCGAAATAAATAAAATAAATAATGAATAATACTCCATAACTAATGCATCGATGAATAGTATTATAAAGAATGCTATGCCCTAATTCGAAATTTCTTCATTTTTCAAGAGCATTTGAGAAGATGATTAATCATATTTCTTCC